ATCATAGGTCAAACATACAACAACCACAAGACCAAACAAAAAGGAGGTTTTCAACGACTATATTCATTAAGATCATTTATCCACGAGGGATAGGACCAACATACGCGCTGTACAGCTTATCACGGCGAACCGTTGTTGTGCCCCTGCTTAAGAACTACATGCAATTTTTTTGATTTTTTTTCTGGGCTGGCTAATGTTGCCTCACCCTCAAGCAACGAGCACGGATCATATTCCAGACGTATCTTCAATGTTGTTTTTCAGGCGAGTGCAAAATTTTGTCATTCCGAGTTTTACGCATATTAGTATCTATTGCGAATGCTTCATTATGGGCCAATGCTACAAAAACCAAAAAGACAGAAAGAAAAATGCTTTTCGGTGATCACTCAAAAAGTTTAAGCTCTCAGGCTTAAAATTGAAAGGTGTGATTAAAATGCTTTTCTGCCCTAATCGTTTTATTTCACTAATTGCAGTTTTTGACCATTTGAATTATATCTATTTTTATATCTCTAAAATTTATCTAAAAAATAGATGGCTACTTTTTAGAATAGTTTTATGTAAAAGTACACTGTTTGTTTGTCATGCTATCTACTTTTGGCCGAATAGGTTCGCGCAACGCCTGATTCCAATACTTATCCGAGTCATACTCAGTAGCGGATTTAAGGGGGGAGGCAGACTCCCCGTCCCCTCAGGGATTCGACCCCCTGCCGACCCAAAGGGTCCTACCTTTGTACTATTTTGTGATTTCATTTTTTGGCTGACTGATCTTAAAATTTTTCTAAAGGCGCCAATCTATAATAATTTTGAGGGGGAGCGCCCGCCGAAAAAAAAGGGATTTTGAAAATCTGCAAAGAGAAATTCCTAGATCCGCGCCTGGTCATACTCACAATTTTCTGTTCTCAATGGATCAGAAGTAAGAGCTGGTAAACGCGAGATTGGGTTGAGCTCAATTTTACTGTAATCTGTAATTGGAGCGCCGAGTTTGTCGATAGTAGAATCAGGTTTGTTCTTTTGCCTGAACTGAACCCTCTGGACGAATGGTCGAAAAAATATCAAAATTGCTAGAAACAAAATGAAAAAATTAAATTTTTGATACTGGTCCGATAAGTTAGTTTCTGACGCCCGTTCTTTTCTAATTGATCAATTTTCTGAGTATCCCAATTTTCTCGACATTCGTTATCTGGCAATCGTAATGTGCATGTCAGGGGCGGATCTAAGAATTTCTCGAGGGGGAAGGGGCGAATTTTCAAAAAAAATTGAAAAATTTGTCGACATTTTTTTTAACGTCGACCAAATGGATTTTCTGAGCTCTCCCAAATCAGTATTAAGACCCTAATTTGATCAAATTTTCACCGCTGCAGGCAAATTTTTGAAAAAATGCCAAAAAAAGGCGTTTTTCAGCATTTTTTGGAAAACTTCGACCAAAAAATTGCGTTTTTTGGGCGCGCGCTTCCTCCTCAAAATTAGTATAGATTGGCACCAAAGGCGCCTTTATAAAAATTTTAAGGTCAGTCAGCCGAAAATGGATACCTCAAAATAGTGCAAAGGGGGACCCTTTGGGTTGGCAGGGGGTCAAATCCTTTGGGTCGGCAGTGGGTCGAATCCACCCCTTCTTCAAATCCGCTCCTGGGGCATGTAGCGTTTTCGTCACTTTAACCGTCAAAAAAGCCTAAGTTAGTTTTTTTAGCCATAAAACACAGTGCGGCTAGCAAAAAAATAACCCATTAAAAACTCAAAGTATCGCACGTTTTACATTAAAGCTAGTTAATTGCATTTTTCCTCTTGTTAGAACGGTTATCATCCACGGCTTTAAATTAGCTGGTCATCAATCTGAAAATAAGAAGTACACGTAAAAACACGCTTATGCAAAATCAAGAGCTCCTGTTGGTGAGCAAAAAGCACAAATGTCGCTATTACAAACATAGCCAACTGACAGTTGAAAAAGAGTAAAGAGCGCAATGAAACTGAAAAAAACGACTCGTTTTTTCTTCAAAAATCTTCAAACTTTGAATTTCGAATAAAAAATTAGATGGTATTTAAGAAGGCTCTTTGAATTTGAAGAACAACAATTTATGAGGAGACTTTTTTTGTTACAATCAACACAATTTGAGAAAACTTGATCAATAGGTATAACTTTCATTTCAGTGGGAAGTCTGATAATTAATTTCCATTTTCAAAACTATTTTCCTGAAAAAAAACAAAAAAATCAGAAAGACTCATATAAGAGTCTTCACTGCGTTCATTACTCTTAGTCATTCAAAAATAAAGATAATTTTTCAAAATACATCTTTCAAATGTTTTTTTTTCGTCACAATTTCCTGTTATGGTTTCTATTAAATCGTGACTGAACTAGGTTGAAAAATGAAAGATTTACTGACCGGTAATAACTGCTATTACGTTAAAATTGCGGTAGACGTAGAGTGAAAGTCGTCAGTCTCGAAACAAACTTCGTCTTATTTAGTCTGAAAACGAAGTTATCAGACCAATTATGCGGTGGAATCCCTCATACGCGAAGGACCAATTGCGCGAAAAAAAATCAACCAATCAGATTTCAGTAATCCAAAATTTGAAAAGAAAGTAAACATTTCCAGGGACTGAATATTGATATTGGCCGAACATAAAAACGGCAGAAATATGCAAAATTTTCAAATTGTCACTAACCGCCTCCGAACTGGAACAAAGTTTATATTTCAAGGGTTTTGTTATGAAAGATGCAACATATTGCTTCATTTAATTCATTTTAATTGAATGTCAATTGCTTCTTTTTTAAATTGACTTTCGGCTAATTTTGTTTTCGGTCCTTCGCTCATGTTTCATGCTTTCGGTCCTTCGTTTTTTCGCGCATTCGGTCCTTCGCGCATGAGAATAGCCCCCAGTTATGCTTTAAACTGGGAGAACTTCTTTGGAATCTGAATCATGACCGATAGCGGTATAATAGGTTAGCACTAATGACTCTCCATGGGCTTTTTTGGGGGGGGGGGGGGGGGGGGTCAAAAACGAAAGAAATAATGATAATGCCAAATCAAGTTCTTTCCAATTTCAAGAAATGTTCAAATTGCTAGAAACAAAATGAGTGAATTAAATTATTAAAGATATGAAAAAGAATAATATGAATGATGAAAAAAAGAAAATCAAGAAACGGTTAAGATTTCCAGTTCCTAATTGTACTCCTAATTGTAAATTAATCTCTCAATTGTAAAAAAGATTTTTTGGTTAAAACCTTTTATTGCAAAATAAACTGTTTTAGATAGGAAAGCACCTCTTCTGTACAATTCGAACTTGGATATTCTGAGCTTTCTTTCCACAATTAAACTTTTCACTTCAAACGATTTGAAACCAGAATATCCAACCTCAGTTTATATAAGAAAACTATTCATTTAAGTTCTGAACAGCCTAAATAGTAAGTTTCTGTGTTTTCATTGGTAAACTAGACTTTTATGGATGGACTGCGATACAAGTGCGATGCAAAAATGAATAAAAGTGATTAAAATCAAAATCTGAAAATAAAACCGTGTTGTCATAAATCGTTGTTGTCATAAAAAAATTTAAAGATAGCAAAAAAGCCCAAAAGGTCCGGAAAAAACTTGCACCATACAAAATTTACAAGGAGCTTTCGAAAAGCTAGAAAAAAGCCGAAATTTTTTTAAAAAAAAGTTTTTTCTGCGGGAACTAAGCCGGCAAAACTAAGCAGACAGAAAAAATCTAAATAAGCAAAAACAAAAACATTTCATATTTAAAAAAAAAGTGCCGACTGGAATCGAACTGTCGGGCTTTGTCAACAAGCATGGCAGTTTTAGCAACTTAGAAAAAAAGCTGAACCTACGAAAAAAGGAACTGAGCCGACAAAAATAAACAGACGGAAACAAGTCCGAAAAAGCACAAAATTTAAGTTTGCCAAAAACTACAGGCCTTTGCCCTTTCAAAACTGTTTACCTCTACCCCAGATTCACCGCAGCGGTTGCTTCATTTCAAATTTATAAAAAAAAGAAAGCATATGAGGAAATCCAGGCCTCAGGAGATGAGTCCTGCCTGTGAACAAAGTTATTTTTTTTTGGGAAAAAGTCTAATACCAGATTACAATACCCTTGCTTATCGCAAGGGTAATCGCATAGATGAAATAGCACCACCGATCCAGGATAGTTTGCAATCATTGGGTTTCGATGCAGCAAACGTTCACTGTTTAATTATATTTTAGTCCTTGAAATCATTGAGATATTAAAAAGCACCTCTTCGACATATTAAATATCTTCGATGATCGCTGCAAAAAACATGCTTCAAATTTCAAACTCTCGAAACTTTTCGCTAATGGCAATGAAAACATCTCTAAAACAAACCTCCTTTCAGCCTTGATATTATAATTAGCACTCCACAAGAACCTGTTATAATCATTGTCAAAAATCAATCCATAACACCAAAAACTTACTATTTTAATCTATAATATACAAAATGAAAAATAATTTGATAGATTTTCTAAGATCACTAATTTTTTTGCAAGCATGGCTTGCATAGATGAACACATGTGCTTCATTGTACATCCATGGAATTCGAACACATTGGTTTCTTCTATAACAGTGGTTTCTTCTTTGGGATCTCTTTTACTATTTCCCCCTACCGCAAAAGGAGGTTCGCTACTAGGTACAAAATTCACAAATGCTTAACCGTTGAACTAGTTCATTATAGGGTTGGCAATACGTTACTAGGCACCATAGAGGGCAAATGGTGAAAGAGATCCCTTCTTTCTTTAGAATTCTAAGGCAAACACAAGTATTCACTTATGCAGTTAAGATGGCTCACGTAGTTGAGATGAGATTTAACCAGCCGAAGTGTAAGTCTTTCAGTGAACCCCCTTACCATCCACTTTCAGTGAATCCCCTCTTTGTTTTCTTAACAGGTTTCTTTTCGTGTTTATGGTTTTATGATTTAAATTGATCCATTGGAATGAAGCCTTAAAATTGAAAAACTCCTAATTCAAACTTGATACTGCGAAAATCCTAAATATTGGAAACTCCTAATGAGAATCACTCCCATATGGTATCTTCCTCTTCTAGTTTTAATAAGGAGAGCTGCTTAGGTCTTTTGATAGTTTTGCTAGTTGAAACCTCATCCAAACCTCAAAACAAACTACAGTTGCTATTCAGACGCCGTTGTCAGTCTGTGAGCGCTGGCAGACGGAAACACATCCGAATATCACAGTAGCCGCCGCAGAAAAGACAATTTGATATAGAAAAGAGCTGTCAGCTAACAACTAGCTAACAGTGATAAAAATCTGCAACCAATTCTGAGAAACACTAAAAAACTCACGCCCACATACTGAAAAATAATTGTGAAACATAAAAAAAAACATTGAAAAATAAGTCACTTAAAATTTTCTTGCAAAAGTATTGCATCAGAGTTGTTTTGTGTTGTTCTCAGGATTATTTGCAAACAAGATGGCGCTTTCGTCTATAAACAATTGAAATTTGAATCAATTAAAATGGTTCAATAGTTAGCAATTTAAAATTCAGTTGGGCAGGTCGGTGACTTGTTTCCAGGAATAGTTTGAATTTTTTCATTTGCTGAACAAGTTCTTGATTACATTATCCACTCACGGGTCTCTTCAACTATCCCACCTCTCGGCACAAGTGAGGAGATTCGTTACTAGGAACAAATTTCACTATGCTTAACCGACGAATTTTTTCATGAAAGGGGTGAGAATTCGTTAGTAGATACCAAAGGGAGGGAAATAGTTGAAGAGATCCTCAGTTACTCCTATAAGATTTGCCCTTATTTTTTTTTAACTAATGAACCATTTCACATTATTTTTATCTTCTGGTCTCAGTTGAACAGGAACAGTTTTCCCATCTGGGCAGCGACCAGAGCTGTCAAGATGGGAACGAAGGGGATCCAGATGCGTGGACTGGCGCTGAACTTTTCCTTCTTGAACTCATTCAGGAGACCAGTCTGGGATCCCGGGATCTCCTTGTCCCGGAGGCTCTGGTAGTCGGAGGCAAACTGCTCGCGTCCGCTCCTGTGCACGTCCATAGTACATTGCCAGTCCTCCGCACACGTCTCAAACAAATATTAACTATTTTCATCATTTTAATTTTCAATCTTACCTTTTCAACTTGTACAACAAATCCTAGTATTATCTAATCACGTCATCTTCAAAGTGAACACCTTTGCTGTTTTTAAGCATTTTATATCTATGACTGATAAATGATTGATACATCAGACATTGATTGGTTGACTTAGAACTGCGATTAAAATTTTTTGCCCAGTTTAAATTATTAGATGAATCGCTCGGAAGATTACCTGTTCTTGCTACCACAATTGATGCATGCGCCTAGCCACCGGTAAATACATTTTGATTTTGCTCAGCTTTTTTTTTTCAAATTGCCAACTTCGAACTGACTTTTCGCTTTTCTAATTAATTAAATTCTCATCTGGTCGCTCTATTGTAACCAAAAATGTTCAATGGTTGGTGATACCGGTGAAACAAAAAATGTTCGGTCAAACGCCTTTTTCAATACTAATTAAATTCTCATCTGGTAGCTCTATTGTAACCAAAAATGTTCGGCCAATACGTCTTTTTCACGACAAATTGCCATCTCAGTCTCTTCATTCAATTGAAACAAAAGATGGTCGGTCAAACGCCTTTTTCAATACTTATTACATTACATTCTGATCTAGTCGTTCTATAGCAAACAAAAATGATCAGTCAATGTGTCTTTTTCACGACTAATTACTATCTCAGTTCAATTGATACAAAAGATGCTCGGTCAAAACGCCTTTTTCAATACTAATTAAATTCTCATCTGGTCGCTCTATTGTAACCAAAAATGTTCGGCCAATACGTCTTTTTCACCTCAAATTGCCATCTCAGTCTCTTCATTCAATTGATACAAAATATTTTGGTCGGTCAAAACGCCTTTTTCAATGCTAATTAAATTCTCATCTGGTCGCTCTGTAACCAAAATGTTGTAACGAAAAATGTTCGGCCAATACGTCTTTTTACGACAAATTGCCATCTCAGTCTCTTCATTCAATTGATACAAAAGATTTTGTTCGGTCAAAACGCCTTTTTCAATGCTAATTAAATTCTCATCTGGTCGCTCTGTTGTTACCAAACACGTTCGGTCAAATCAATCTGCTCATCTTGGAAAGAGATGAAAAAATCATTCAAAGCCAATCTGCACATAAATGAAACAACCAAAATAAACTCCAAAACGCAATAAAATATGAAAATAGGCCAGCAATAAGGGAAAAAATATTACGAAACAAACAAACACTTAGGAAACAAACATAGAGTTGCAAGCTAGCAGACAAAAATGAAACAAAAGCCACTCAATCGAAGGCGAAATACATGAAAAAACGCCAAAAAAAACACAATTCAAAAATTATAATATTATGTTTCCCTTAAAACAACGCACAATTGATAATGACTAAACAACTGGATGAGGATAGCAAGAGACTATAAAAAATAATTTTATTAAAGCGTAAATTCGACACAATAGGACTAGTACGGGAAACACAAAATGCATACATCTACTGAACTTCACATTTACAAAATTTTTGAAACACTAACTAAAATAATCTAAAAAAAATTGCCCAGTAGATACTTTACGCAACGTTGTAACTGATGAAGACCGGAGTAAATCATCAAAAAAGAAGAAAATCGAAAAATTTAACGACTGGTGCAAATTTTAAAACAAATAAAATAAGATTAAGATTAAGAAAAATGCTCAGTTGTATCTTCAACTATGGAATAAATTGTAATGAGTTTAACCAGAAAATGTCCAAGACAGCCAAAAACAGAAAAACCACCTTTTCTCAGATAACTTCATTTTGAACAATGAAGATCTATTGAACATAACATACACCTACAAAAATTAAAATAACATCTCAACAAGTTATTTTTAAAATTTCCTCTTTTTTTCTTTTTTTAGACAGCTCGTACTTGTTTGAGTTTTTGCATTCTGATCGATACCGGTGAAAATCGAAGTTAGGTTATTAAGAAAACAATTTAATTTTTTCCGCTCAGAGAAGACTAAAAACGGACCAGAAGGTCTCATGACAATCTCTCAGGCTTATGTTTAATGGTTGTAAATGCGCTTTTATAACAAGCACCACTGATATACTAGCCTGAAAACAATTTATTATGATTAATTAATCAATTAAGCCGATAAAACATAAGCCTAAACCATTAAGCGGAAAATTTTTCGCTCTTCAATCATCTGTTTTGGATTGCATGTCACCTGTGAGTACATGTCGTAGACTTGCTGGGACTCGGTGTAGTTAAACTGTATGGGGGCATCTGTCATGTCAGCCTTCACCATACCACTCAGGAAGGTCCCGAACAGCCAATCATCCTGCTCAATCACTCTCCAGGACTCAGCAAAGAAATCATAGATGTACTCGGGGTCCGATAGCGATGAAATTGGCGCTTCCGACACTTTAAAAAACAAGAAAAATCACTGCAATAAAACAAGCACCGAAATTTCCGACCACCTTTTAACTTACACTAAATTGACACTAAAAAATTCAAAGTGCTATAAATATTTGATTTTTTTTTGCGCTGGATTGAAATAAACAGCATTTTGACGAAGTGCACGCTTGTCAACCCGGCAAACTATCGCGCGTTTTACTGGCATTAAACGTATTGTGTAATCATCGCGCGTTTTATTGGCATTAAACGTATTGTGATGAAATTAGTAGTGACAGTTATTACTACATTAATCTTACTTCTAGGAGACTTAGGAAGGAAGTCATTTGAAGCGATTCCGTCCCATGTTCCAACGAGTCCTCTGGTGTGTCCGCGGAAAGAGTCGGGAAGAGTCAAGAAGACGTTGAAGTAGTTGTGGATTACTTGTAAATTAACAATGAGATTGATGCCTGGAATCACAATTTGCACATGACAACCGCCTTCTCTCTGTTTGATGGTCATTCCACTAAAGTAGAGGTCAAAAGGGTCATCAGGTCCCATTGACATAAGGTCAGTGAGCAACATATAATAGTCATCGTTGATGTAGATGAAGTTACGGATTCTGTTTCCTTTGCCTTCCGGTACGAGAGATGGTCGCATGATCTCTATTTTGTGGTTAGCGTATTGAATAGCCAATCCGGATACCACAGTTAGGTGTCCGATAGCCCGGGTGCTGAGTTGGATCATGGTCGGTTGTTCCATGTCGGGGGTCTCAAGCAATGTGAACACTCCTAATCCCAGCAATTTGAATTCCAAACCTTCAGCAGTCGTGAAGTGGCCTCCAAATTTGATAGGCACCGTCAAACTTCCAGAGTAGTCTCCAATCGTTGTAGGCCTGTTGGAGTGGAACAGAGGACAGCGCATAGTGTCTGCGCAGCACACCTCGTATGGTTCCAGCTCATTCCTGTAGAAATGGTGCATATTAGCCGCTGTTGCTTCGTTCAGACTCATTCGCCCAGCTCCCTGATGCGGGTCGGTCATCAGAGTTCCATCCGGGTCATAGCAACACTGGTTGGACACGTGGAGGGTGTTTCTGGTACGGTTGTCGTAACACTCTACAGCCGGTGATCGAATGCAGAACAAAGCTGCTGGGTTGTAATCACATGCTTTTTCATCGCACATTGACAGGACATGGGAGGATTGCGACACGGATGTGTTTTCCTTGTTGCAACAGGGGTCGTAGTACCACCCATGGGGGCCTCTCGCTACTTCCTCATGCGCCCAGAAAGCGTCGTTTCTGATTGGATACGGGGATCCAGAGTTCGCGGGGCATGCAAAATTCTCCTCCAATTCCGCGGAGCATTCAGATAGATCCTTATCCAGCTGATCGTGAAGCCAGTCCACACAGTCTGTAGTTCCTTTCTTGGCGAGAATACTTACGAAAGTACCTTACAAAACAAGGGTAAACAGTTTTTTGCAAGTAGCACCAAAATTCCGACCGCATAAAAAAACTGTCGTGGCAATTTTTCTCCGTGGCATGATAAGAACATCTGAACGAAGCCTAGAACTTAGGCATATTCGATGCTTATATTAAATTGGGCGTACTAGCGCATGCTTGCACCTACAGGGCTTCAAAAACATCACTGAACTTAAAAAGAGTTTCCTAAAACATGTACTAAAACAGCGATATTCAATGCATTTGTGAAAATAAACTTGGGTCATCTATCAGGGGTTTCTATTTCATAAAGCACGCAATATCTCAAAAACGAAAAAGATTTCCACAGTAAAAGTTTGAGGCAAGATTCTTAACATGTAAGTATCCCCTGAAACCCCGGGTTGAGAATTTCAAGATCGGTTTGCTTTTATTTTTGAAGTTTTTTTTGAAAATTGAAAAAAAAGCCACATCTCGGAAACCACAAGGACTTGAGTATTCATAATTAGAGGGCAGATTTGCAAGCCTTGAGTGTACCCTGACAGCACACCACCATAATGTTGAGAATTCCAATTTCCGTTATTTTTTATATTTAAGTTTTTGAAGAAAAAGAAACGAAATCATATAGAACGCCATTTCACGAAAACCGAAAGGATTTGAGCAGTCATATTTGGACACCAGCTGTGCAACCGCTGACTTTACCCTGAGAGCAGGCCAAAATAGGGTTGAGAATTTCAGATTCTGGTAGTTTTCACAAAAAAAAACAATATAACGCCATATCTCGAAAACCAAAATTATTTCAGCAGTTATCTTTGGAGGCCAGATTTGAAAAAATTGATTGTATCCTGATACCACCACACCATGGGGTTGACAATTTCGAATTTTCAGAGAGTTCTTTGAAAATAACTTTTTTAAAAATGAAATCACAAAACACCCCACACCTCTCAAACCAAAAAAGATTTCAGCTGTCATATTTAGAGGGAAAGTTTGCAGCACCTGAGTATACCCTAAACACCCCACCAAAGGGTTCAGAACCAGGGAGCGCAAAAAAGTCAAAACATTTTTTTACTTTTCAGCGAATTTCGGCAAGGAAAAAAACGTAACTTCGGAAACTACATAATTGCCTTAGTGTTAACGCAGAGAGTATTTAAAACGTCGTATTTCTGAGAAATGCACATTCTTATCAAAGAAATATCCATCAACTTTTATATGCATCACGTTATAGGCCTTTCTCAGAAAAAAATACGCAGCCTATTTTAACCAGCTCTACCGTATACATTTCCAACAACAGTTATATCATTCAAAGTCAAAAGATTTTTCAGTCTGCTAAAGCGAAAACTAGATGACTGTCAAAATATTTTGAAGGAAAATGTGCAAAAATAATTGTTCATGTTTTTATAATACCGAAATTGAAGCTTTCAATACTTAAAAAAATATTTAAGGCCCAAAATTTACTTTTTTCCGCTCCCTGTTGAGAACTTCAAGTTTCCTTAATTTTTTTATATGTAAATTTTTTGAAAAATAATAAAAAACGCCAAATCTTGAAAACCAAAAAATTATGAGCAGTCATAATTGAACTGCAAGTTTGTAACCCCTGAGTTATATAGGGTTGAAAATTTCCAGTTCGATTAGTTTTTACGTTTTTTGAAAAAAAAAAGATAGTAAGAATGGCCACATCTCGAAAAGCAAAAAGATTTGAGAAGTCATCTTTGAAGAGCAGATTTACAACCCCTGATGTTATCCCTGAGTTATGACAGCAAGCCACCATAGGGTTGAGACTTTCAAAATCTGTTAATTTTTCTATCAAAGGTTTTTTGAAAAAGAAACGAAATCATAAACAACGCCATATCACGGAAACCGAAAGGATTTGAGTAGTCATATTTGGAAACCAGCTGTGCAACCACTGACTTTACTCTCAGGGCGGGCCAAAACAGTGTTGCAAATTTTGAATTTTCAGAGTGTTCTTTTATAATAGGTTTCTGAAAAAATTGAAATCACAAAACACCCCAAACCTTGTAAACCAAAAAGATTTGAGCAGTCATTTTTAGAGGGAAAATTTGCAACACCTGAGTATACCCTAAAAACCCAACCAAAAGATTGAAAACCAGGGAGCGGAAAAAGGTAAATACTTTTTTTTTAGTTTTCAGTGCATTTTGAAGTAAAAAAAGGTAAGTTCGGAAACTACATACTTGATTTAGTTTTAACGCCGAGCGTATTTAAAATGTCGTATTGCTGAGAAATGCCTATTCTAATCAAAGAAATATCTATCTACTTGAAAACGCCATGTCTTGAAAACCAAAAAGATATGAGCAGTTATCCTTAGACTCCAAATTTGCAACCCCTTAGTTATATAAGATTGAAAATTTTCAATTCGTTTAGTTTTTATACACGTTTCTTGAAAAAAAAAATGATAGTTAAAATGGCCACATTTCGAAAACCAAAAAGAATTGAGAAGTCATCTTTGAAGAGCAGATTTTCAACCCCTGAGGTTAACCCTGAGGTATGACAGCAAACCACCATAGGTTGAGAATTTCAAAATCTGTTAACTTTTATATCTAAGTTTTTGAAAAAAAAGTGACAAAATCATAAAGAACGCCGTATCTCATACAAGCCGTCAAAGTTGGAGGCCAAAAATGCAACTCCTGAGCGTAACCTGTTAGCAGCCCATCATATGAAAAAAATTTCGAGTTTTTTAAAAGGTAAAATAAAAAACTGAAGGAATTTGAGCAGTATTATTTGGAGGCCAGTTTTGCCACCCCTGAGTTTACCCTGGTAGCACACACCAAAGGGTAGAGAAAATCGATTTTTCAAACACGCCCTGAAATGCAAAGCTTCAAGAGTTTGCAATGTGGAATAAGGAGCAAATTGTAGTTAAATCATTCACGCTTCAACAGATGTATAGTTAAAACAGTAGATGACCTTGGCAACTCGAACGTTGATTCTAAACAAAAACCATTAAACGCTGTGAGAAAACGTCATTTTACTCAAAATGTCGAGATAGTGACTTCTTAAACATGTGTCAAGTGAAACCCCAATTAAAAACACAGGTGAAGCTGCGCTTCGCAAAACAAGCAAGAAAAATGCAAAAAACAAGAAATCTCAACAGACAAAACAAAGTGAAATGAGTAAAAAAAACTTAAATAGACCTTGAAAAAAATTGGTTGAGATTGGAAATATCAAATTCTCACATCTTCTCCACAACCGCTTGTACTAACACTAGCCACCAATAAATCAGCTACATTTTCTATCAAATTGTCAATGTTATGCAGCAAAAATTCGACCAAAAAAACTATCAAAATGCTCCGGATTTGAATATCCAACCTATTGATTAAAAGTATCACATCCTCGCATCTGTGCCACGGTCAGTTAAAGCAAACTAGTGGTCCAATTAATGTTGGATCTACCTGCTCTCATTTTAAAATCATATATTTTACTGATAAGGAAGCCTAGAGCTTCTCTGCTTAAGTAGCAGATTGACCACTTGTTACAGGAGATAACTTCTATTCGTTTTTTAAATTGAAATCTTTATCTCAGATTTTGCTGGGCACATTTCGAAAAAAAATTGCAAAAAATTCCGAAAACCGATTTAAAAGACGACTCTTTCTAAACCAATAACTTTTCTCTAATATAGCATAGGAAGGCTATACTATATTCAACTTCCTCAGCTTTCAACACCCTGGTTTAGAGATTGAAGATTTTTGCACCCTGATTTTTAGATTGAACCCTTAATATCAGATTTAGCCAAGAGTTTTGGAGAGAAAGGACAAAATTTCTATAAAAAAAACAGGGTAAAACAGATTACGTAGGAAAAATAAATCGAAGCAACATGTTAGTTTTAAGGAACTATCAACTTTAGAATCAGAATAGTTTTGAAAAAAAAGGAATAACTTTCCAAAAACGGGCTAAATTTCAAAACGGAACATTTTCGGAAGCCATGTTTTTTTCAAAACGCAATGCATGGCCGTTGGCGCAAGTAAAATTAGCATAACGGTTTTTTCTTTCTGAAGCCATATTTTTTTCAAAACGCAATGCGTGGCCGTTTGCGCAAGTAAAAAAAAACCGATCTGGCAGGGTTTCAAAAATTAACCAAAATGTAAACAACGAGCTTGTTTGAGGCCATAACTTTTTTCTACCGAAATTAAGGAATAGCCGTTTAAAGAAGGGAGATCCCCATAAATTATTGTTCAGATTGAAACCTTCATCTCAGCATTGTGCATTCAATCTTTGAGAAAATGAAAAAATTCAAAAAGGCCAAAACACCTCTACTGAAATTTTTGAATGCTGTAGAACGTGAGGTAAAATTAACAGAGACTAGCAAAAAAAATGCAGGCACCTAGAAAAGCAGCCGGTTTTTCTATTGGTACTATTTTTTTTGAAAATTGATACAGTAGTAGTTTTTGAGAAAAATTGAAATTTTTGAGAAAAAGGCAAAAATTTTTCAAAGCGTAGCAAAAAAAAAACGAAAAAGAACAAATCTCATACGCTTTCATAATACATCTTTTTTTCAAACAGGACCTAATAGTACCAAAAAAAAGAGCAGCATTAAATTGTTCATGCTTAAATATGATTAAATTGAAATCTAAGCACTAAATGAGCTTTTTTATTTGCGACTTAGGTTATCTCACCTTGGTACGACTTGAGTTGGAAGCGGACGAGGTGGTTGCTGCCGAAAGTGTAGTGGATAGTGGTGTTGCCACTCTCCAAGTCAATCTCTTCCTCGAACACCTCCTCGTAGCCCTGGCCAGTTCCTGAAGCAAAACAAAGACTTAAAGTTTCATAGCCCTTTAATACATCAACGACCCCCCTTTCTGTATCAAGAAGCAGCTTTCAGAGCATTTGATAGTTTAAATGCACCGGGGAATCACGTCACAAAAGGACGTAGAACGCGACTTGTTGAAGTGTCATCTTTCTCACTCGAGACAGACAACTTTGATGAGTTTAAAAGAGGCAGTGGTTGCTTGTGACACTCAGTCTTGCTGGTCAAACTTCTGTCAAATTAGTGGCTCATGCGATACGTACCGTTATATGTGTACTCTGTGATCAGGATAGGAGTGGTCTCGTTTATGGTTGCAAGAGGCCACGACACCTGGACACTGTCTGAAGCCGTGGGTGTGATGTTCAACTGTCCATCTATGTCCACTGGAGTGAAGGAGAGAGTAGCGTCAATCTTCTGCTCCCATCCATCCACGCTCAAAACCATGCCCACAACCTCCTCCGCACCCCAAAAATCGGGAAGCTCTACTTCCAATCTAGCGTCCCCTCTCTGATAATCAATGTCTGAATCTGGAATCGTTTTGTTGAATGAACTTCCAATCAATTTCACTACCAATTCAGAAGCAAAGCTGGACGAATAATCAAGGATGCCTGTGCACTCGAGATGAAAAAACTGAAACTTGAAACTGAACTTATCATATTTGTCCATGGGGGCAAATGAGGGCTTGGCGTAGGCTCCCCCGCACAACTTGACGACTTTGTAGGGCAACCTGACAAATGGTCCTTCAGTTCCTTGATTTATTTCATAGATCCACAGACCATCTACTCCCACGTTGCTCTTTACTTCTACCATCACAGCTTCCACGTAGTCGTCAAACGGCATTGATGCATCTAGGAAGCAAAACAGAAGCATTAGCTGAATATTTCTGAGGCATATAGGTTTTCCATACACAAAGTAAAGGTGTTCAAGTATATACATTTGAAACGAATAAATCATTCCGCATTGAAAATTAAACATTGCTTATATAAAGTGACCGACTTCGACAAGATATTATTGTTGATCTACTCTACCACGCGCCCATTTAATTAGTAGTTTTGAAATTTTCAGCATGAAAAAATTTCACTCATTTCAATAACCACTGGATGATGCTTCTAACAAGAGCCAAAAAATCATCAGTGAAAAACTTCTGAATTTCGAACTTTTCCAAAAGTTCGCCGAGATTTCATTGCCCAGATGGAATTTCCTCAATTTAACAAAAGAAAGATTCTCACCAAAGAAAGATTCTTACCATAGGTAGCAGAAGAGAAACTGAACGAAAGTTCAAAATCAGCCTCGAGTGTTTGCATGACAGCATATTGGGTCATAGTGTAGCACTCGTTGTCCCGAACATCGGTCGTGTTCTTCTCGTCACAGGCTACAGCGAACTGGATGTTGTTGTGAAACGTGTTGAACATCTCATAATCCGCCACTTTGTAGATGGTCACCACAAAACCAGAGTCCACACTGAAGTCTCCTCCGATCCTGGCACTCAGCACTTCCTTGTCCCGTTGGCTCAGAGTAGTGCGCACGAAGATGTTGTTAGCCAAGTTGGGGTACTTAGTGTCTGGTCCCATGACCACCTCTGTTATCAGGTCGTCCCAGTAGATGTCCACGAGGCTCATGGGGAATTTCATAGTGTCCCATTCTTTCACCATGACTTGTGTATAGAAATAATGAGTGCCGATGACATAATCATGGTAGTCCATATCGCCATCTACGTAGTCGCTATCCCCGTACAAAACGTAGTCGCAGATGTCTTCAATTCCAGTAAAGGACGCGCTATACTGCAGACACATGGCATCGTACAAGTAGTCCTGCGAGTCTCCGTCAAAGTCCGCGACGTCGATAGTTCCAACTTTAACACCAGCAGCATTCATTAAGTACACTTCTAAATTCGAATTGGTCTGGATGTAGTCAACTGTCTTATTTCCCCACAAAAATGACCCGTTCAGAAACTGTCGCGATGAGGTGGGACTATCTCCCTTCGCAGTGAAGTTATCTCCAGCTTTCAGTCCAAATTCCAGATCGAATGGTTCCTTCACACAGCTCACCTCTCCTCCGTTCATGGCCACCAGGAGAATTATGGCCACTGCCATCTTGTATGTCCCCAAAGAGAAGTCCAGTATAAGGCCAGGATCCGCCCAGCCAGCATTTTTAATCCGCATTTCGATCGAATCGGTTTTGAAAAAAAATCTAGTCCACTGAGATTTCTGTTTTATTTAATTCTAGTCAGTACCTCTGATTAATTTGACGTCGCGAAAGTGATTTTAACATTCAAAACCTCGATCATAATAACTTTTACTCAACTTTTATTGGCTCACTGTTTTAAGCGAATCATAAGAAACAACAATAAGAGGCAAGCCAGAGAATTAATTTGACCATTTTAAGCCAATTAATAAAAAATAACAAATACCTTCAATATACAAACAAACATAAATTCAAAAAGAATCTTCTGATTCAAAACGACAACGAGCAGCAGAGATGAGCATGAGCTTTAACAAATACCATCCAAGTATTTTAATAACTATTCAAGTATTTTATTAACTTATTACATAAAGCAGAAAAAAAACATTCACTTGGTTCAGCGAGAAATTTTCCCATTGATTGTTCTGACCAAGCGACTAACGTGACTTGAAGGAAATATGGTTGCTATTTAGGGTCCGTTTTTTAAAAACTTATTGCCAATTTTCAACTTTTTTCATATGATGTTGACTACCCCAATAAAAGCTCGTTGAGATCAAGTATGTTTTTTTAAAACCCTATAGACCGTTATTCGCTCTCTAAAAAATTCGAAAAAGAAGATTCAAGGTCGAAAAAAACTGGTCTTAAAATTTTTGGTTCTCAGATTAAATTAGAGAGCTTTGACCTTCAAATTTGATTCTCTTAGAATTTTAGTTATAATTTCCACTCATTCTCGTCGTTTGTCGCCTAAATCAACCACCCTTTCCAGAAAAAAAATAACATGAAAATTGGACTAAAATAAAAGAAAATAAAAATTTCTTTTCGTAAGTTCGTGTAAAATTGAGAAAAAGAGCACTATTTGTCAAAATTTTATGGTTTACACAGAGGTGACGCTGTGCTTTGGAAACACTAGCGCGGAAACGATAAAAACGCAGCTCTATAAAGTTGATAGGAAAAACTAGAAATAAGACTCGAGTTAGTATAACTTTTTCTTCGAGTCGTATTCGAATCTACGACCTCGAGATTTAGAATTTCACGCCCTTCCCTATCAGCAAACATTATTCATAAATAAAGCAGAGAACAGATGCTAAGAAATTTGCAATGCTACATATTGGAATTATAGCATAAGTGCCACCAAAAGAGCAATTCAGATTTTAAAAAAATCGGGTCACACAAATACACTACACTATTAGCGAGCGTAGTGTAATTATTGCCTATAATGAAAGATCCAGATACATAAACCCAGGCTTATAATTTTCCCTGATTCTTTTTCATTATCAGTTTTATTTCCTGTATACTTTTTTACTACGACTTTTCATTATATCACATTGAGGCTCTTCAAATTTCAAGATTCTTTTATGATCAAAACCTTTGTCTGAAACTTTTGCCCAACTAAAGATAATCAAAAATCAGACCAATACATAATTTAATTATTTAACTGGGAAATCTATAAGTAAATAAATTTGAAACGAAAAAAAAATCCCATTTTTCGCGCTATTTGAACTATGGTAAATGGCGATTGGGAATTGTTTTCCTTTCAAAAAAAAGTAAAAGTAAATTGACCTAAAAAAAAAGTCAAACGCCAAAAAAAACTAAATTTGAGCGTCATAAATACTTGAGATTTTTTCTGAAAAAGGGAAAAACAAAACTAACTTCAAGGCGATCTGAAGATTTGTACTTACTTTGCATTTTTCAAATTTCAAAGAAAAAGTAAACTCAATATATCACCCGAGAACTGCTAACTTCTAGCGAAACAATCAAGCAAGTGAGCCGCAACTACATTTAAAGGCAAGTCTGGAACGTTCTGGAGGCGAAAAAACAGTCCTGAATAAAATAAAAACTAGCACGAAATGTTCTTTTTTGGCACTAAATCTACTAATGTATCCAGAAAATTCATAAAAACTAGAGTTGGACCACTTGTGAAAAAAAAAGCAGATGACTAAAACAGCATGACGCTCAAGAAGAAGAAAAAACGACTTCGAGCGAAGAGATAATTGGGAAAGCTTAGAAAAACTAACATTGTAAAAAGTTCTTAGAAAATGTTCACGAGAGCTTTATATGTAGTAACTATAACTATACCGACAGTTTAAGTCAACAACCATGAAGCAGAAAACTTGCAATACAACACAAACATAGGACAACAAACTAGCAGACAGATAATGTCAAGAAGAGCTAATTTTCAAGAGCTCTACTAACATTTTCAAATCCCTATAAATTTATCTGAAATAATTAAACAACAAAATAATATGCAAAACAAAACAACTGAACCTTAAATTTGCATCGAAAAGAAAACTACGCAGCGGTACCAGGCCAACAATGTTATGTAACAGAACAATAATTACATGCGTAACACAACATCAATTGCGATACATCACAAACTTAGAAAAAAACATAAAAAGTCGCAAAAATTTGAACAAATATTCGAGAAAAGGTGAAAAATGTTGAAAAAAACTGAACCTACTAAAATGTTGGTATGTCTCAAAAAAGTTTCACTCTAAGCAAACAAGACAGGAGAAAAATTTGAATACTAAAACAGTAACAGAAAAAAGTTTTCGAAGCGGAAACCAAGCCGACAATCTTGCAGCCATGATAAAGCTTGTTTACAGCAAAAAACCGTGATGTGGCAACTAAGCCGACCGTACTCAAGCAGACAAAAGAAAAATCCAAAAACTCAAATTTTACCGGAAAGTTCAATTTCATACGTGCTGAAACAAACAAGGTCCAGCCGTAGGTCGAACCCCAGACCTTAGGCTGCAAAGGCGACTTCGCTGCCTCTGGATCAAGTAGGAACGTGCATGGAAGTTGTTAAGCTTCGAGGAAAAAGCAAGTAAGAAAAACAAATAACATATGTGGAAAAAAATGTTTGCGATAAAATAGTCTAACTGCCGATTTTTCTCGCGAGTGTAATAGTTCCGTGCTCATTAATTTATAAACCAAAAGTATTCGAAAAAATTAATAATTCCGCGAAAATATTCACTCAATTCCTTATATAGGTGGCATTCAGAAAATTAGAATAGAGCTGTATCTTCAAAAAGAGTCCGCACAAGGAGAGCTAAGCCGAAGAAATAGTAACGGACTATAACCAAAAAAGTCCTTTTTTTACTGAACTCTATTTTAGGTTAAAAAAATCTTTTACCTTAAAACCTTCGGTGAAAATGTCGACAGAACTAACGCCGACCAACCTCAGTGATGAAAATCTACCAAAAAAATTCCAATCCGATAAAAATTATTTCGCAATTCTCAACGTAAACACAAGGCACATTTGCAGTCAAAACATTAATCATGCAATTATTTAATCACGCAGCGGTGAACTAATCATACAGCGAAAAAACTGTACTGGTTTCCATTTGACCTTTCTGTGATCACAGCAGACAAAAACACTGATTTCTAATTGACCATCGTTTGAACAAACTTTTTTACTTGGGGAAACTTTCGTACACGATTGCAAAACCCTTACTTATCGCAAAGGTTGTTAATATTATTTTCCTGGCAAGATATAGAACTTATTGTAGTTTCACGCCTGTAAATCATCAAGCGTTGCTCTTTGAAATAATCTCAACTTTCGATGTTTAAAGAAAAACAAATGCTCTTCAAGCTCAAGAACAACTTATGATTGACACTTTTTTTGATAAAATCAACCCAATTTAAGAAAACTGGATTGATAG